ACAATAGCCATGGTATCGTCGCTGGCTGGGCCACCATCTTCGTTCAAGCAAAACTTGCAAAAAAAATCAGACCTAAATTGTTCCATGTTCGTTTACAACCATTGATTTTCAAGCATCTCATCTTCTACATCTGTGTCTCAATTCCACTTAGATTTCACTATTGAGAACGGCCAAGCACTGTGCACTTAAGTGTGTGGCCCAAAACATGATGGCCCGAAAGTGAGATAAAAATCTCTAAAGAAACGTACACTGGCAGACTCGGCAGAAGCACCCACGTATGAAAGGAGAGAGAACAGAGCCTCGAGAAGATTCTCCCAGGCGATTGAGAAGGAGCAAAAGCAAGGTCGTTCGACGACCTTAGAGACGGTGGTTGGAAACGATGAAGAAGACAAAAATGGAGAGGACAACGAGAAGGGTAAGGAAAACACTCTCTTTACTCATTTCTGTAATCTAAACTTTTATTCATGTATATTCTTACACAAAGGGAAAAGGAGAAGCTCTATTTATAGAGCTCTATGGGGATAACCGAAAAACGAAACAAAACAGAAAAACCTAAAAAGAGAAGGAAACCAAAAGACTGTCCTTTAGACAGTAACGAATCTGTAAGATTCTCAACAGCCTCTCCTCAAGCTAGACGGTGTGTAGTCATCAGTCCAAGCTTGGGTACAATCGACTTGAATCTGACGCGATGTGGGAATTTGGTGAAGATGTTGGCCAGCTGCTCGTCGGATCGCACGGGAAGGAGATTCAGAAGATGTTCCTGAACTTTCTCACGAACAACATGACAGTCAAGCTCAATATGCTTGGTCCGTTCATGAAAGATCTGGTTATGAGCTATGTGCCTTGCAGACTTGTTGTCGCAATACAAGGCTGGGATCCCTGACTCTTCTATTTGAAGGTCCTGTAGGAGATAACGGAGCCATTATATTTCACATATAGTGGCCGCAAGAGCTCTATACTCAGCTTCAGTGGAGGATCTGGAAACGGTTCTCTGCTTCTTAGACTTTCAGGAAATGAGAGAAGATCCAAGGAAGATATAGAACCTTGTTGTGGATCTTCTGGTATGGGACATGTCGCCCAGTCAAAGTCACTAAAGGCTTTTAGTTGCATAGGAGAGTCAGCAGCGAAAGATAACCCTTCAGATGGCTTGGATTTAATATACCTAAGAATATGCTAAATGACACGATAATGATAGTCAGTAGGTGATTGCATGAATTGACTAAGTAAATTAATTGAAAAGCATAAATCAGGTCTTGTATTTTTAAGATAGAGCAACTTCTATTAGCCTTCTGTAAGGGCCTAGATCATCCAAGTAGCTGTCCAATTTGTATAATGAGCTTGTGTCGCTTAGGAAAGGAGTAGAAGAAGGCGTATGTCCCAACATTCTTGTTTCCTCCAATATGTCCAAAGCATATTTCCTTTGACACAAATGGATACCCCTTTTAGATCTGGCCACTTCCAATCCTAAGAAGTATTTGAGTTCTCCAAGGTTCTTTATTCAAAACCTTTTATGTAGGAGTTCCTTTATGCAATTGATTTCCATCATAGAGTTTCCTGTTAACACAATATCATCCACGTATACAAGTAGAGCAGTAAAACTTGTAGGTGCTTTTCTAATGAACAATGAGTGATTAGACTTAGATTGAATATAATTGGCAGATATTAGAAAAGAAGATAGTTTTTCAAACCATTGCCTACTGGCTTGTTTCAAACCATATAAAGATTTGGTTAACTTGCAAACCTGTCCTTTATTATGGATATTCAGACCTGGGGGTGGTTCCATGTAAACCTCTTCATTAAGATCTACATGTAGGAAAGCATTATCAACATCTAGTTGATGTAGGAACCAATTGTTTGAAGCAGCTAGAGCAATGAGTAACCTAACCGTGGTAAGTTTAGCCACAGGGGAAAATGTGTCAAGATAATCTATTCCCTCCTGTTGTGTGTAACCTTTTGCCACCAAACGGGCTTTGAACCTTTCAATGCTACCATCAGCTTTGTATTTTGTTTTATACACCCACTTACATCCTATAGCAGTTTTTCCTAGAGGCAGTTGAGTTAAAACCCAGGTATCATTGTCTTGCAAAGCTTTGATTTCTCTCTGCATGGCCTCTACCCATTCATTCATGCCTTTTGCCTCATTGTAAGATCTGGGTTCTTTATTTCCAGTGACAGCCATGGTGTGCCTTAAATGTTTTTTTTTGAAAAATTATCACAACACAACAGATTAGAAATCAAATATGGGGTTTTAAAGCCATTTTTTACAGATAAGGATTGATTGACTTGATGAACATAATCTCTTAAGTATTCAGGAGTCTTTCTGGGTCTGTCAGATCTTCTGTGTCTTTAATTTTCTTGATTGTTTCCTGTACTGTCACTGTTGCCTCCATCATCAGAGGGTTGTTGCACCTCTTCTTGGTCAGTAACATCTAATTCAGCATGTATGTCATCATTAGTGGGATAGTGATCTCTTAGAAGATCATTGAGTGAATCAGCTTTGTCCTCTTCAGTATCATAGTCTTCTCTGTTGCCTTGCAGGTTTTTGTAAGGAAAAATGTCTTCATGGAAGAGAACATTTCTGCTTATAAGGAGTTCCTTGGTATTTATATCAAGCACAATGTAACCTTTCACACCACTTTTGTATCCTAGAAAAATTCCTTTTCTAGCTCTTGGGTCAAGCTTACTTTTATTATTTTCAAGAGTCGAGGCAAGCACAAGCATCCAAAGGTTTGAGGTTTAAATAGGTGGGGGCAAGTTATAGAGAAGGTCATGGGGAGTTTTGTTATTAAGAATGGAAGTAGGCAACCTATTTATTAGATAAACAGCATGTCCAACAGTTTTAAGACCAGTAAGCATTAGGGATGTTAGCTTGAAAAAGAAGGCCACGAGTCACATTTAGTATGTATTGATGCTTTCTTTCAACAACAGAATTTTGTTCAGGAGTTTCAACACAACTCCTTTGATGATTGATTCCATGCAAATTATAGAAATCCATACAATTAAATTTAGGACTATTATCTGATCTAATAGTTTTAATCATTTTGTTAAACTGGTTTTTAATCTTAGCAATAAAATTCTGCAATAAATCTCTAGTTTGACCCTTATTATTCATTAGAAAAATCCATGTGTGTCTACTATAGTCATCTATTATGGTGAGAAAGTACTTATGACCATGAACCGAAATAGTGTTAAGAGGACCCCATATATCACAATGCACAATTTCAAAGGATTCAGTAGTAACAGAAACACTTTTAGAAAAGGACAATTTTCGTTGTTTAGCATAATGGCAAGTGCCACAAACAATGTTAGTACCTATTTTTACATAGGGAAACTTTTCGCATATTTGTTTTATAACTTTGTATCCTGGATGGCCTAATCTATAGTGCCACAGATTTACATCAACATTCTTAAAAGAAAAAGCAATCTTTGAAATGTATCTTTGATCGGGTTTAGGAAAAGCTTACAGATAATAGAGTCATTTCCAAGAATTAGCACATCCAATCATCTTCAATGTATGATTCTCCCTTATCTGACAAGTCTTAGAGGAAAAAGTTAGACTACAATTCAAGTCCTTAATAAGACTTTGAACAGAAATTAAATTGAAACAAAATTCAGGAATATAGAGGACATTGAAAATGACAAAGTTTTGGAAAATTGCACAATTCCTGCGTGCTTAGCAGTGAGGGTAGTATTATTTGACAGTTTGATAAAGATAGGTTTAATTTTATAGAAAGTAACAAAGTTTGTTCTATCATGTGTCACATGATCTGTGGCACCAGTGTCTATTATCTAGGAAAGATTACCTTGTTTGTTCTCAGTTTCATTCCTTTGAACTTGATTGACTTTGTGAGTAGGCTCATCAACTTTGTCTATCATTCTGAGAAGTTTTTGCATCTGTTCAGCTGTGAAAGAATTGAAAATATTACTATTATTGGTATGATGTGTGTTCTGAATCCCTTCAGGTTCAGTGTTGTTCTGGCACGCATTGGCAGAACTCCAGTCATTCTTTTTATCTTGGTTGTTGTCTCCTTTCTTATACCAAGGTGGGTACCCGTGCTTAGAATAGCACTCATCTATAGTGTGATTCATCTTGTTGCAATATGAGCATTGTTTACCATAGTTAGGATTTTTACCTCTTCCTTTTCCTTGACCACGAAATCCAGAACCCCGTCCTTCGCTTTTCCATTGACGGCTTCTGTCAGCAACGTTGGCCAGAACTTTGATATCTGCAGAACCTTGTTTCTCTTGTCTCTCTTGTTGCATAATAAGAGAGAAAACCCGATTGATATTTGGAAGAGGATCCATTAAAAGAATTTGTGTTCTAACAGTGTTGTAGGAATCATTTAACCCTTTTAAGAAACATATCACATGTACCATTTCTCTATACTTCAAGGAAATTCTTGAGAGATCACAACTACATGGAATCTGACACGTGCAGGTAGGTATAGGTCTTAGGATATCTAACTCCTCCCATAGGATCTTCAAATCTGTAAAGAACTGACTCACCCCCCTTTCTCCTTGTTTAATAGAATGTATGTCCTGAAGTAAATCAGAAATCTTGAAGTAATCACCCTTGGAGAATCTTTCTTTCAGGTCATCCCATAATTCTTTGGCTTCTTCAACGTATATAACACTTTCAACAATTTGTGGGGAAAGGGTCTTTGTTATCCAAGATAAAATCATCATATTGCATCTCTCCCATGCATCAAACAATGTGTTGATTTTCTGGGGTTTCTTTATAGACCCATCAATGAACTTTATCTTATTCTTGGAAAGCAAAGCTCTCTTCATGCTTCTACTCCAAGAAGAATAGTTGTTCTCGTTCAAAATTTGTGTAATGAGCGTGAGACCCGGGTTCTCACCTGGGTGTAGATAATAAGGGCTGGATGGGTTGGAAGATTGATTCATCTGCTTCATGAAGAAAAAAAAAACACAAGAAACAACCCAAGAAGATACCAAGATTTGCAGCAGAGGCAACGGAAGCAGAGTAGGTACTAGATCTGCTCTGATACCATATTGAGAACGGCCCAACACTATGCACTTAAGTGTGTAGCCCAAAACATGATGGCCCGAAAGTGAGATAAAAATCTCTGGAGAAACGTACGCTGACAGACTCGGCAGAAGCACCCACGTATCAGAGGAGAGAGAACAGAGCCTCGAGAAGATTCTCCCAAGCGATGGAGAAGGAGCAAAAGCAAGGTTGTCCGGCAACCTTAGAGATGGTGGTTGGCAACAATGAAGAAGACAAAAATGGAGAGGACAACGAGAAGGGTAAGGAAAACACTCTCTTTACTCATTTATGTAATCTAAACTTTTATTCATGTATATTCTTACACAAAGGGAAAAGGGGAAGCTCTATTTATAGAGCTCTGTGGAGATAACCGGAAAACGAAACAAAACAGAAAAACCTAAAAAGAGAAGGAAACCAAAAGACTGTCCTTTAGACAGTAACGAATTTGTAAGATTCTCAAAATTCACTACACTTTTTCTTTTCAAAATTTCATTAATTTGTGTGTCCATTTTTCTGTTTATAGATCTCTTTGTTTTTTTACCCTATTTCCACGTGTTCTAGATTTGATATGCAATAAGTTAAGGGTTTTTGTGAAACGAAATGTCAAACCGAGTATGTACTGTCTAATTTTTTGTAGCTTATAAACTTGTATTTTCTCCAAACAATTTTTTTACATGTTTATCTGTGAAACATGGACGAGAATCAAGAGATGGAGAGATTTGGAATGGAGAATGATGATGAAGGTGGTCATTGATAGTGAATTCTAATACAAGATTTGGATTTAATATATAGTTTCATGTATAAATGATGTATTAAATATTAGACTATTTAACCTTTGAAATGAATTCTATTTTGTTAGTTTCAATAAATTTGTTTATTTAAAGCTATATTTATTATAAATGGATTGATGAGATGATAATACAGGAATATTATTATAATTTCATTGGATGGTCAAATTTAATAATCAATCTTTTAAAAAAAAAACATTTACTATAACGTACTAAGCAATGTATGATATGGTAAGTTGATCACATATTATAACGTACAATAATATATACGTAATAATATATAACATATTATAACGTACAAAATCTTCTACGTTATAATATCTTTCACCTATTATAACGTACTTCAGAAATTACGTTTGAACACGTTATAAAATACGCAGACTTACTATATTGCCCAGAACTATATTCCCTGTAACTACGATATAAAAGATCATTTTTGTACGCTATAAAAAATCATTTTTCCACTAGTGTACAATTGTTGAATAATGAATTATGTACAAGAATCTTAAATAAAAGCATACTAAAACAAATGATGTTCTTTAGGAGTTTTTACATACTTCAAATTCTTAACATGCGGAGAGTAACCACAAAACAAAAATGAAACAAATCATATACTAATTGTACATGTATATACTCTGTGGTTAACTATTTAAATATAGTTAAAAAAAATAACAAAAAATTAAACAAAAATTACAAAAAATAATATTACTTTAAACGTTTGAAAAAGTTTGAAGATCACCCTAAATAAAACTACTGACCAAAATAATGACAATAGAAATCTTTTAATAAATAATGATAGGAGATCATTATTATTTATAATTATCAATATTTTATTGTCACGTCGGACAAATGGATTTATATTTCTCAAAACCTAATTGAAGATTTTCTCTCTCTACTGTAGTCTCTTCAATTTTTCATCATCAGCCACACAAGGGCCACTTTCACATGCTCCACCGTCGACAACGTTGTACACCGCCAACTTCGTCCATACTAGGGCACCCACATATCATTTAAAATTATTATTTAGTATCTTTGTTTATTATGCATATTGATATAATATTTATAATTATCATTTACCAATATTATTTTATATATTATATCAACATAACGTTGTTGTTATTTAACTAATTTGAAAATTTATTCCAATTTTTATATTAGAAAAAGTTGATTGAAGAAAAAAAAATAAGTAATCATTATCTTTTTAATATCTTTTTAAATTAAGTGAGTCGGTTTGTTTAATTTACGGGGAGTTAGGTTAAACTTATTTTTTTTTTAAAATTATTATTAAATAAATTGAATTAAATTAACTCATTTTAAAAGAATGAGTCAAAAATATCACATAACATTTATTGCGTGTGTCACATTTTATTTTCATCGACAAATCAATTTTAACTGATGACTTATTCAAACCACATGTTTTTATTGCAATGTTATTACGGTCAATCCAAAAAAGAGAGGCTATATTAACTTATTTTTAGAAAAAAAAATGAGACCACACTAATAATCCTAATATAACATGACAAAATTAAAAAATATCATTCAACCAAGTTAAAATAAATATTTTACAATTTTAAAATAGGTGAAAATGATAGATATAAACAAGGTTACAAATCTTGAGAAACGTTAGCATTGATGAAAAATCTCAAAACAAATTATTGTTAATTAAACCATAAATGTTAAAAATATGAATAATTATTCTAGAAAGAGATTCGAAAGTGGTTAAATTGAAGTGGAGAATTCGTATTCTGAGTGGACGTAGAGTTTCTGTGAGTTGGAGAAGCAGCTCCGAATCTCGACCTTTTCCTTTCCTTTCTGGGTATTCATTTGCTTTTGCATGTGTTCGTCACCGTTTTATTCAATCAATCTTTCTCTCTCTCACTCTCTCTTGCCAAAAGTAAAAGATCCGTCCTTTTTTCTTTTCCTTTGTGAACGTGCATTGGGTGGTTTTATCATGAATTTACTGTACCTGAACTCGTGATGCATTCTGAATATTCGATTTTTACACTTGATTCACTCCTATAAAGGTTACTTTTCGTAACATATCTGACACCAAATCAACTCATCAAGTGACAGCAAGTACATTGAAATATTTCAATTTTATAAACTCTCTAATGTTCATTTCGTCCTATGTTTCTTTCTTTTTGGTTGTTACTGTCATGATATAATGTCCTGTTATTATACGAACAACAGAAATACTAGGAAACACCTTTTTTAGGGAAATCTCAAATTTTGGTGGTCCTGGATCAGATTTAACGAGTCTCTCTTGATTTTATAGTTTTCAATAATTTTTAACCTGTAATAAAGCGTGTATTTGAGAGTGTGTTGCTAACACTCTTTGGTTAACAAACTATGCTTCTTCTGCAACATTCTGAATCTTTTATCGTTTTGTAGTGTTAGCAATAGTGTTGATGATGTGAGAAAAATCTGTCACTGATTCTTTGTTACTTTATTTAAGTTTTGCAGGTATCAGTTGCTCCTTTTATCCAATGGAAGTGTTTGACAACTTCATCCTCTCTGTGTGGTGTCATAGCAATCAGCATTGCTTGCAATCGATCAAAGAGCAGCTGAGCTGTGCTAGGGAGTCAGCATCGTTCCTTTTGGGTTTAATCAGTGTCATTGTTTGGGTTGTTGCTGAGATACCTCAAATAATCACAAACTATAGAACAAAGTCTACTGAGGGTCTCTCTCTCACTTTCTTGGTCACATGGATAATTGGGTACTTGGCTTTTCACTAAATTTTCCTAAGGGCTACTCGCATTTTTGTTATCTAATTCAACCTATTCATTTTCCTGTTTATTTGTTTGTTCTGCTGGTCTATTTGAATGCCTGGCATATACTGGTTACAATTCATTCAACCTTGTAGTATTCTGATACAATACTAGTTCTAATTCTAAGTCAACTATTCTGATACAATATATTTTCCACTACAGAGATGTATTCAACCTCCTTGGATGCCTGCTGGAACCTGCAACTGTGAGTGTCTCTATTTTCTTGTGTCTTAAAGCTTTATGTTGCTTGTATTTTTGGAGTCATCTTTAAAGTTTGCCATTACTTTCTCCCATTTGCAACATTAATATATGTAAAAATCACATACTATTGAACGGGAAAAGCAAAATACATGGGTTGGATAAGACATTAGCCAACTAAATCATTTTGTTCTCAAATAATTAATTTTCAAAAGAGAATTATTTTCATTTTTCTCACTTATTACGCTCTAGTTGGGAAGGTCCCTATGCTCTATGAGAAGATACTTTCAACAATTCAGATTTAATAAAATTTTTATTATAAGTTTATTTATTCGTTCTGTTTCTGTAGTTACAAAAAAAATTCCTTTTAGTTCTTGTACTTAAAGAAAACCCCTTCACATAATTTTTAATCCTATTCGATCTTCGTTATAAGAGAGACTAAAAGAGATTGCAAACGGTATGTGTAAGGACTAAAACAACCATTGATTTTCAAGCATCTCATCTTCTACATCTGTGTCTCAATTCCACTTAGATTTCACTATTGAGAACGGCCAAGCACTGTGCACTTAAGTGTGTGGCCCAAAACATGATGGCCCGAAAGTGAGATAAAAATCTCTAAAGAAACGTACACTGGCAGACTCGGCAGAAGCACCCACGTATGAAAGGAGAGAGAACAGAGCCTCGAGAAGATTCTCCCAGGCGATTGAGAAGGAGCAAAAGCAAGGTCGTTCGACGACCTTAGAGACGGTGGTTGGAAACGATGAAGAAGACAAAAATGGAGAGGACAACGAGAAGGGTAAGGAAAACACTCTCTTTACTCATTTCTGTAATCTAAACTTTTATTCATGTATATTCTTACACAAAGGGAAAAGGAGAAGCTCTATTTATAGAGCTCTATGGGGATAACCGAAAAACGAAACAAAACAGAAAAACCTAAAAAGAGAAGGAAACCAAAAGACTGTCCTTTAGACAGTAACGAATCTGTAAGATTCTCAACAGCCTCTCCTCAAGCTAGACGGTGTGTAGTCATCAGTCCAAGCTTGGGTACAATCGACTTGAATCTGACGCGATGTGGGAATTTGGTGAAGATGTTGGCCAGCTGCTCGTCGGATCGCACGGGAAGGAGATTCAGAAGATGTTCCTGAACTTTCTCACGAACAACATGACAGTCAAGCTCAATATGCTTGGTCCGTTCATGAAAGATCTGGTTATGAGCTATGTGCCTTGCAGACTTGTTGTCGCAATACAAGGCTGGGATCCCTGACTCTTCTATTTGAAGGTCCTGTAGGAGATAACGGAGCCATTATATTTCACATATAGTGGCCGCAAGAGCTCTATACTCAGCTTCAGTGGAGGATCTGGAAACGGTTCTCTGCTTCTTAGACTTTCAGGAAATGAGAGAAGATCCAAGGAAGATATAGAACCTTGTTGTGGATCTTCTGGTATGGGACATGTCGCCCAGTCAAAGTCACTAAAGGCTTTTAGTTGCATAGGAGAGTCAGCAGCGAAAGATAACCCTTCAGATGGCTTGGATTTAATATACCTAAGAATATGCTAAATGACACGATAATGATAGTCAGTAGGTGATTGCATGAATTGACTAAGTAAATTAATTGAAAAGCATAAATCAGGTCTTGTATTTTTAAGATAGAGCAACTTCTATTAGCCTTCTGTAAGGGCCTAGATCATCCAAGTAGCTGTCCAATTTGTATAATGAGCTTGTGTCGCTTAGGAAAGGAGTAGAAGAAGGCGTATGTCCCAACATTCTTGTTTCCTCCAATATGTCCAAAGCATATTTCCTTTGACACAAATGGATACCCCTTTTAGATCTGGCCACTTCCAATCCTAAGAAGTATTTGAGTTCTCCAAGGTTCTTTATTCAAAACCTTTTATGTAGGAGTTCCTTTATGCAATTGATTTCCATCATAGAGTTTCCTGTTAACACAATATCATCCACGTATACAAGTAGAGCAGTAAAACTTGTAGGTGCTTTTCTAATGAACAATGAGTGATTAGACTTAGATTGAATATAATTGGCAGATATTAGAAAAGAAGATAGTTTTTCAAACCATTGCCTACTGGCTTGTTTCAAACCATATAAAGATTTGGTTAACTTGCAAACCTGTCCTTTATTATGGATATTCAGACCTGGGGGTGGTTCCATGTAAACCTCTTCATTAAGATCTACATGTAGGAAAGCATTATCAACATCTAGTTGATGTAGGAACCAATTGTTTGAAGCAGCTAGAGCAATGAGTAACCTAACCGTGGTAAGTTTAGCCACAGGGGAAAATGTGTCAAGATAATCTATTCCCTCCTGTTGTGTGTAACCTTTTGCCACCAAACGGGCTTTGAACCTTTCAATGCTACCATCAGCTTTGTATTTTGTTTTATACACCCACTTACATCCTATAGCAGTTTTTCCTAGAGGCAGTTGAGTTAAAACCCAGGTATCATTGTCTTGCAAAGCTTTGATTTCTCTCTGCATGGCCTCTACCCATTCATTCATGCCTTTTGCCTCATTGTAAGATCTGGGTTCTTTATTTCCAGTGACAGCCATGGTGTGCCTTAAATGTTTTTTTTTGAAAAATTATCACAACACAACAGATTAGAAATCAAATATGGGGTTTTAAAGCCATTTTTTACAGATAAGGATTGATTGACTTGATGAACATAATCTCTTAAGTATTCAGGAGTCTTTCTGGGTCTGTCAGATCTTCTGTGTCTTTAATTTTCTTGATTGTTTCCTGTACTGTCACTGTTGCCTCCATCATCAGAGGGTTGTTGCACCTCTTCTTGGTCAGTAACATCTAATTCAGCATGTATGTCATCATTAGTGGGATAGTGATCTCTTAGAAGATCATTGAGTGAATCAGCTTTGTCCTCTTCAGTATCATAGTCTTCTCTGTTGCCTTGCAGGTTTTTGTAAGGAAAAATGTCTTCATGGAAGAGAACATTTCTGCTTATAAGGAGTTCCTTGGTATTTATATCAAGCACAATGTAACCTTTCACACCACTTTTGTATCCTAGAAAAATTCCTTTTCTAGCTCTTGGGTCAAGCTTACTTTTATTATTTTCAAGAGTCGAGGCAAGCACAAGCATCCAAAGGTTTGAGGTTTAAATAGGTGGGGGCAAGTTATAGAGAAGGTCATGGGGAGTTTTGTTATTAAGAATGGAAGTAGGCAACCTATTTATTAGATAAACAGCATGTCCAACAGTTTTAAGACCAGTAAGCATTAGGGATGTTAGCTTGAAAAAGAAGGCCACGAGTCACATTTAGTATGTATTGATGCTTTCTTTCAACAACAGAATTTTGTTCAGGAGTCTCAACACAACTCCTTTGATGATTGATTCCATGCAAATTATAGAAATCCATACAATTAAATTTAGGACTATTATCTGATCTAATAGTTTTAATCATTTTGTTAAACTGGTTTTTAATCTTAGCAATAAAATTCTGCAATAAATCTCTAGTTTGACCCTTATTATTCATTAGAAAAATCCATGTGTGTCTACTATAGTCATCTATTATGGTGAGAAAGTACTTATGACCATGAACCGAAATAGTGTTAAGAGGACCCCATATATCACAATGCACAATTTCAAAGGATTCAGTAGTAACAGAAACACTTTTAGAAAAGGACAATTTTCGTTGTTTAGCATAATGGCAAGTGCCACAAACAATGTTAGTACCTATTTTTACATAGGGAAACTTTTCGCATATTTGTTTTATAACTTTGTATCCTGGATGGCCTAATCTATAGTGCCACAGATTTACATCAACATTCTTAAAAGAAAAAGCAATCTTTGAAATGTATCTTTGATCGGGTTTAGGAAAAGCTTACAGATAATAGAGTCATTTCCAAGAATTAGCACATCCAATCATCTTCAATGTATGATTCTCCCTTATCTGACAAGTCTTAGAGGAAAAAGTTAGACTACAATTCAAGTCCTTAATAAGACTTTGAACAGAAATTAAATTGAAACAAAATTCAGGAATATAGAGGACATTGAAAATGACAAAGTTTTGGAAAATTGCACAATTCCTGCGTGCTTAGCAGTGAGGGTAGTATTATTTGACAGTTTGATAAAGATAGGTTTAATTTTATAGAAAGTAACAAAGTTTGTTCTATCATGTGTCACATGATCTGTGGCACCAGTGTCTATTATCTAGGAAAGATTACCTTGTTTGTTCTCAGTTTCATTCCTTTGAACTTGATTGACTTTGTGAGTAGGCTCATCAACTTTGTCTATCATTCTGAGAAGTTTTTGCATCTGTTCAGCTGTGAAAGAATTGAAAATATTACTATTATTGGTATGATGTGTGTTCTGAATCCCTTCAGGTTCAGTGTTGTTCTGGCACGCATTGGCAGAACTCCAGTCATTCTTTTTATCTTGGTTGTTGTCTCCTTTCTTATACCAAGGTGGGTACCCGTGCTTAGAATAGCACTCATCTATAGTGTGATTCATCTTGTTGCAATATGAGCATTGTTTACCATAGTTAGGATTTTTACCTCTTCCTTTTCCTTGACCACGAAATCCAGAACCCCGTCCTTCGCTTTTCCATTGACGGCTTCTGTCAGCAACGTTGGCCAGAACTTTGATATCTGCAGAACCTTGTTTCTCTTGTCTCTCTTGTTGCATAATAAGAGAGAAAACCCGATTGATATTTGGAAGAGGATCCATTAAAAGAATTTGTGTTCTAACAGTGTTGTAGGAATCATTTAACCCTTTTAAGAAACATATCACATGTACCATTTCTCTATACTTCAAGGAAATTCTTGAGAGATCACAACTACATGGAATCTGACACGTGCAGGTAGGTATAGGTCTTAGGATATCTAACTCCTCCCATAGGATCTTCAAATCTGTAAAGAACTGACTCACCCCCCTTTCTCCTTGTTTAATAGAATGTATGTCCTGAAGTAAATCAGAAATCTTGAAGTAATCACCCTTGGAGAATCTTTCTTTCAGGTCATCCCATAATTCTTTGGCTTCTTCAACGTATATAACACTTTCAACAATTTGTGGGGAAAGGGTCTTTGTTATCCAAGATAAAATCATCATATTGCATCTCTCCCATGCATCAAACAATGTGTTGATTTTCTGGGGTTTCTTTATAGACCCATCAATGAACTTTATCTTATTCTTGGAAAGCAAAGCTCTCTTCATGCTTCTACTCCAAGAAGAATAGTTGTTCTCGTTCAAAATTTGTGTAATGAGCGTGAGACCCGGGTTCTCACCTGGGTGTAGATAATAAGGGCTGGATGGGTTGGAAGATTGATTCATCTGCTTCATGAAGAAAAAAAAAACACAAGAAACAACCCAAGAAGATACCAAGATTTGCAGCAGAGGCAACGGAAGCAGAGTAGGTACTAGATCTGCTCTGATACCATATTGAGAACGGCCCAACACTATGCACTTAAGTGTGTAGCCCAAAACATGATGGCCCGAAAGTGAGATAAAAATCTCTGGAGAAACGTACGCTGACAGACTCGGCAGAAGCACCCACGTATCAGAGGAGAGAGAACAGAGCCTCGAGAAGATTCTCCCAAGCGATGGAGAAGGAGCAAAAGCAAGGTTGTCCGGCAACCTTAGAGATGGTGGTTGGCAACAATGAAGAAGACAAAAATGGAGAGGACAACGAGAAGGGTAAGGAAAACACTCTCTTTACTCATTTATGTAATCTAAACTTTTATTCATGTATATTCTTACACAAAGGGAAAAGGGGAAGCTCTATTTATAGAGCTCTGTGGAGATAACCGGAAAACGAAACAAAACAGAAAAACCTAAAAAGAGAAGGAAACCAAAAGACTGTCCTTTAGACAGTAACGAATTTGTAAGATTCTCAAAATTCACTACACTTTTTCTTTTCAAAATTTCATTAATTTGTGTGTCCATTTTTCTGTTTATAGATCTCTTTGTTTTTTTACCCTATTTCCACGTGTTCTAGATTTGATATGCAATAAGTTAAGGGTTTTTGTGAAACGAAATGTCAAACCGAGTATGTACTGTCTAATTTTTTGTAGCTTATAAACTTGTATTTTCTCCAAACAATTTTTTTACATGTTTATCTGTGAAACATGGACGAGAATCAAGAGATGGAGAGATTTGGAATGGAGAATGATGATGAAGGTGGTCATTGATAGTGAATTCTAATACAAGATTTGGATTTAATATATAGTTTCATGTATAAATGATGTATTAAATATTAGACTATTTAACCTTTGAAATGAATTCTATTTTGTTAGTTTCAATAAATTTGTTTATTTAAAGCTATATTTATTATAAATGGATTGATGAGATGATAATACAGGAATATTATTATAATTTCATTGGATGGTCAAATTTAATAATCAATCTTTTAAAAAAAAAACATTTACTATAACGTACTAAGCAATGTATGATATGGTAAGTTGATCACATATTATAACGTACAATAATATATACGTAATAATATATAACATATTATAACGTACAAAATCTTCTACGTTATAATATCTTTCACCTATTATAACGTACTTCAGAAATTACGTTTGAACACGTTATAAAATACGCAGACTTACTATATTGCCCAGAACTATATTCCCTGTAACTACGATATAAAAGATCATTTTTGTACGCTATAAAAAATCATTTTTCCACTAGTGTACAATTGTTGAATAATGAATTATGTACAAGAATCTTAAATAAAAGCATACTAAAACAAATGATGTTCTTTAGGAGTTTTTACATACTTCAAATTCTTAACATGCGGAGAGTAACCACAAAACAAAAATGAAACAAATCATATACTAATTGTACATGTATATACTCTGTGGTTAACTATTTAAATATAGTTAAAAAAAATAACAAAAAATTAAACAAAAATTACAAAAAATAATATTACTTTAAACGTTTGAAAAAGTTTGAAGATCACCCTAAATAAAACTACTGACCAAAATAATGACAATAGAAATCTTTTAATAAATAATGATAAGGAGATCATATTAATTTATAATTATCAATATTTTATTGTCACGTCGGACAAATGGATTTATATTTCTCAAAACCTAAGTGAAGATTTTCTCTCTCTACTGTAGTCTCTTCAATTTTTCATCACCAGCCACACAAGGGCCACTTTAAAAAAAATCATTCATAAGAAATATTACTTTCAAACTTTCTTAATCTTTTATAATCAATGTGATTCAGTTATGAGTTATAAGAGATAAAGAGATTAATAATAAAATTATATTCATATATCCTTACAAAGAGGAAAGTTACATTTACTTGTTTAATCATTCTAAGTTAATACTAATTTCAAGTTTTTTATAACTACCTTATATAAGAATACAATATAAAACTCTATCATAAGAAAACCCTCCTAACAACATTAGTCATGAACAACATTAGTCATGAACAATAAAAAAAGAAAATGAATAAAAAAAGTTCACTTAAACAAATCTTAGATTAAAGTACTAAGAAAAGAAAGAATGAAGATTTTTAACGTTAAATTCATCAATTTATGAATTCAATTGCATGGTTGTTGTGGAAAACTCCTAAAATATATTTTTAGAATGAAGAAATCCCATTGTCATATATATTAAAATAGAGTGAGAACATAATTTTACAAGTTTTATCATTTTAGTTAACAAAAAATTGTTTTAACCCGTTAAAGTAAAACTTTCTATGAGATATTAATTTGTTAACTAGATGTTAATATGATAAAAATTAACTAAAATTTATTAATCGTCCATCTATAATAATTAAACATTTGTTGAGATCATTATATTTATAAATGCTTTAATATCTCTTTTGATTTCTATTTTTTTAGTTTGTTTAAAGTGGTTATCAACTTTTTGAGTTTTTAAAGTGGTCTCAATTTTTTATTTTTTTCAATTTGGTTCATTTTCTGTCTAAATAGTTAACAATACAATGTTCACATGAGCCAGGTTTGAATGACGTGTTCCATTTCTTCTCACGTGACTCGCCACATATTTCATTTTCTTCCCAACCCATCTAGAAACCCTAGGCAACTGGTCCCCTCGATACCAACACGCCACCACTAACTACCGCAAATCGGAGACTCTTCAACCATCTATTTGAGCCGCCAATTTGCACGTATCGAAACCCCAAAACAAAGCCCTAATCGCACCACCAGAAATCATTGTAAAGCCACCATGCCATTAGTCACCATCAAACCTTTGTTAGCCACCGTAGGTACAGCCAAGACAATAGCCATGGTATCGTCGCTGGCTGGGCCACCATCTTCGTTCAAGCAAAACTTGCAAAAAAAATCAGACCTAAATTGTTCCATGTTCGTTTATTATAAATGGATTGGATGAGATGATAATACAGGAATATTATTATAATTTCATTGGATGGTCAAATTTAATAATCAATTTTTTTTTAAAAAAACATTTATTATAACGTACTAAGCAATGTATAATATGGTAAGTTGATCACATATTATAAGGTACAATAATATATACGTAATAATATATAACATATTATAACGTACAAAATCTTCTACGTTATAATATCTTTCACCTATTATAACGGACAAATGAAAAATTGTTATAATAAACTGCGTATATTATAACGTACTTCAGAAACTACGTTGTAATATGTTGAACACGTTATAAAATGTGCAGACTTACTACTATATTCCCTGTAACTACGATATAAAAGATTATTTTTGTACGTTATAAAAAGTCATTTTTCCACTAGTTTACAGTTATTGAATAATGAATTATGTACAAGAATCTTAAATAAAAGCATACTAAAACAAATGATGTTTAGTTAAAAAAAAAACAAAAAATTAAACAAAAATTACAAAAAAATAATATTACTTTAAAAGTTTGAAAAAGTTTGAAGATCACCTTAAATAAAACTACTGACCAAAATAATGACAATAGAAATCTTTTAATAAATAATGATAGGAGATCATTATTATTTATAATTATCAATATTTTATTGTCACGTCGGACAAATGGATTTATATTTCTCAAAACCTAACTGAAGATTTTCTCTCTCTACTGTAGTCTCTTCAATTTTTCATCATCAGCCACACAAGGGCCACTTTCACATGCTCCACCGTCGACAACGTTGTACACCGCCAACTTCGTCCATACTAGGGCACCCACATATCATTTAAAATTATTATTTAGTATCTTTGTTTATTATGCATATTGATATAATATTTATAATTATCATTTATCAATATTATTTTATATATTATATCAACATATTGTTGTTATTTAACTAATTTGAAAATTGATTCCAATTTTTATATTAGAAAAAGTTGATTGAAGAAAAAAAAATAAGTAATCATTATCTTTTTAATATCTTTTTAAATTAAGTGAGTCGGTTTGTTTAATTTACGGGGAGTTAGGTTAAACTTATTTTATTTTTAAAATTATTATTAAATAAATTGAATTAAATTAACTCATTTTAAAAGAATGAGTCAAAAATATCACATAACATTTATTGCGTGTGTCACATTTTATTTTCATCGACAAATCAATTTTAACTGATGACTTATTCAAACCACATGTTTTTATTGCAATGTTATTACGGTCAATCCAAAAAAGGAGAGGCTATATTAACTTATTTTTAGAAAAAAAAATGAGACCACACTAATAATCCTAATATAACATGACAAAATTAAAAAATATCATTCAACCAAGTTAAAATAAATATTTTACAATTTTAAAATAGGTGAAAATGATAGATATAAACAAGGTTACAAATCTTGAGAAACGTTAGCATTGATGAAAAATCTCAAAACAAATTATTGTTAATTAAACCATAAATGTTAAAAATATGAATAATTATTCTAGAAAGAGATTCGAAAGTGGTTAAATTGAAGTGGAGAATTCGTATTCTGAGTGGACGTAGAGTTTCTGTGAGTTGGAGAAGCAGCTCCGAATCTCGACCTTTTTCCTTTCCTTTCTGGGTATTCATTTGCTTTTGCATGTGTTCGTCACCGTTTTATTCAATCAATCTTTCTCTCTCTCACTCTCTCTTGCCAAAAGTAAAAGATCCGTCCTTTTTTCTTTTCCTTTGTGAACGTGCATTGGGTGGTTTTATCATGAATTTACTGTACCTGAACTCGTGATGCATTCTGAATATTCGATTTTTACACTTGATTCACTCCTATAAAGGTTACTTTTCGTAACATATCTGACACCAAATCAACTCATCAAGTGACAGCAAGTACATTGAAATATTTCAATTTTATAAACTCTCTAATGTTCATTTCGTCCTATGTTTCTTTCTTTTTGGTTGTTACTGTCATGATATAACGTCCTGTTATTATACGAACAACAGAAATACTAGGAAACACCTTTTTTAGGGAAATCTCAAATTTTGGTGGTCCTGGATCAGATTTAACGAGTCTCTCTTGATTTTATAGTTTTCAATAATTTTTAACCTGTAATAAAGCGTGTATTTGAGAGTGTGTTGCTAACACTCTTTGGTTAACAAACTATGCTTCTTCTGCAACATTCTGAATCTTTTATCGTTTTGTAGTGTTAGCAATAGTGTTGATGATGTGAGAAAAATCTGTCACTGATTCTTTGTTACTTTATTTAAGATTTGCAGGTATCAGTTGCTCCTTTTATCCAATGGAAGTGTTTGACAACTTCATCCTCTCTGTGTGGTGTCATAGCAATCAGCATTGCTTGCAATCGATCAAAGAGCAGCTGAGCGGTGCTAGGGAGTCAGCATCGTTCCTTTTGGGTTTAATCAGTGTCATTGTTTGGGTTGTTGCTGAGATACCTCAAATAATCACAAACTATAGAACAAAGTCTACTGAGGGTCTCTCTCTCACTTTCTTGGTCACATGGATAATTGGGTACTTGGCTTTTCACTAAATTTTCCTAAGGGCTACTCGCATTTTTGTTATCTAATTCAACCTATTCATTTTCCTGTTTATTTGTTTGTTCTGCTGGTCTATTTGAATGCCTGGCATATACTGGTTACAATTCATTCAACCTTGTAGTATTCTGATACAATACTAGTTCTAATTCTAAGTCAACTATTCTGATACAATATATTTTCCACTACAGAGATGTATTCAACCTCCTTGGATGCCTGCTGGAACCTGCAACTGTGAGTGTCTCTATTTTCTTGTGTCTTAAAAAGCTTTATGTTGCTTGTATTTTTGGAGTCATCTTTAAAGTTTGCCATTACTTTCTCCCATTTGCAACATTAATATATGTAAAAATCACATACTATTGAACGGGAAAAGCAAAATACATGGGTTGGATAAGACATTAGCCAACTAAATCATTTTGTTCTCAAATAATTAATTTTCAAAAGAGAATTATTTTCATTTTTCTCACTTATTACGCTCTAGTTGGGAAGGTCCCTATGCTCTATGAGAAGATACTTTCAACAATTCAGATTTAATAAAATTTTTATTATAAGTTTATTTATTCGTTCTGTTTCTGTAGTTACAAAAAAAATTCCTTTTAGTTCTTGTACTTAAAGAAAACCCCTTCACATAATTTTTAATCCTATTCGATCTTCGTTATAAGAGAGACTAAAAGAGATTGCAAACGGTATGTGTAAGGACTAAAATTTTTTTTTTTTTATTTTTTTAATTTAAATTGGTAATTTTTTTTTTTTTTATCTTTGGAAATCGAACCTTTTATTATACGACATTTTAAATTTAATCCCATGTTATAAATGGGTTTGCTATCCTCATGTTCTGGTTTTTGAGAACAGAGTGTAATGCATGCTCTTTAGTTCATTGGGAGCATCATGAGCATTTGTTTTCCTATTTTCTGAATATTTTTCCTGTTGAACTTGTTATGGATCATATGGATAATCAGTAAGAGTATACAGAGTAATTCTTGATTTCTTATTTATGCAGCTTCTTACTCAATTATACATGGCAGTGGTGAGGACTCTAGCCCAAGATTGAGGGGTTTCAGTACCTACGAAATCATCTTTTCATCTGACCTTTCTGGTCAGCCAGTTGATGTGACATTTTCCTGATGTGTTAAAATGCAGCTCTATACCATTATAACTCTTGCTCTTGGTTTACAAACCATTTACTATGGACATATATATCCTCAACTAAAATACAGGAGACAGCTCAAGGTACAAGTCCCTATACTTTATTTTGCCAATTATCATTGCCTTTTCAAAATCAGAATCCTTATATCTCACTCCTCATTCAACTAGAGTCTGATACTCTAGACAAGTTTATATACTTTATCATTTTTGTTTTGTATTGTATTTTAGCATTCTAAACATGAGCAGGTTGAGACATTCACAAAAACTGGACAAGGGGAAAAGGCTGCCGATGCTGAACAGAGTATTAAATTTGAAAATTCAAATAGATATGTCAGTCCGATTTCTCCTATTCCTCTTCCAGCATTTCCTCAAAGAATTGGTACCGGAAGGGAATTATTCTACCGGTAATTAATCTTTCTCAGAAAAATCTATTAAAAAATGCACAATACTCTATTTCATAGTCAACTTCAATCTCCTGATGTGGTCACTTTAAAGAAACATATTGGATTCCCTTAATCTTGGGCTGTCAATTTCAATGCTGGACNTAATATATAACATATTATAACGTACAAAATCTTCTACGTTATAATATCTTTCACCTATTATAACGGACAAATGAAAAATTGTTATAATAAACTGCGTATATTATAACGTACTTCAGAAACTACGTTGTAATATGTTGAACACGTTATAAAATGTGCAGACTTACTACTATATTCCCTGTAACTACGATATAAAAGATTATTTTTGTACGTTATAAAAAGTCATTTTTCCACTAGTTTACAGTTATTGAATAATGAATTATGTACAAGAATCTTAAATAAAAGCATACTAAAACAAATGATGTTTAGTTAAAAAAAAAACAAAAAATTAAACAAAAATTACAAAAAAATAATATTACTTTAAAAGTTTGAAAAAGTTTGAAGATCACCTTAAATAAAACTACTGACCAAAATAATGACAATAGAAATCTTTTAATAAATAATGATAGGAGATCATTATTATTTATAATTATCAATATTTTATTGTCACGTCGGACAAATGGATTTATATTTCTCAAAACCTAACTGAAGATTTTCTCTCTCTACTGTAGTCTCTTCAATTTTTCATCATCAGCCACACAAGGGCCACTTTCACATGCTCCACCGTCGACAACGTTGTACACCGCCAACTTCGTCCATACTAGGGCACCCACATATCATTTAAAATTATTATTTAGTATCTTTGTTTATTATGCATATTGATATAATATTTATAATTATCATTTATCAATATTATTTTATATATTATATCAACATATTGTTGTTATTTAACTAATTTGAAAATTGATTCCAATTTTTATATTAGAAAAAGTTGATTGAAGAAAAAAAAATAAGTAATCATTATCTTTTTAATATCTTTTTAAATTAAGTGAGTCGGTTTGTTTAATTTACGGGGAGTTAGGTTAAACTTATTTTATTTTTAAAATTATTATTAAATAAATTGAATTAAATTAACTCATTTTAAAAGAATGAGTCAAAAATATCACATAACATTTATTGCGTGTGTCACATTTTATTTTCATCGACAAATCAATTTTAACTGATGACTTATTCAAACCACATGTTTTTATTGCAATGTTATTACGGTCAATCCAAAAAAGGAGAGGCTATATTAACTTATTTTTAGAAAAAAAAATGAGACCACACTAATAATCCTAATATAACATGACAAAATTAAAAAATATCATTCAACCAAGTTAAAATAAATATTTTACAATTTTAAAATAGGTGAAAATGATAGATATAAACAAGGTTACAAATCTTGAGAAACGTTAGCATTGATGAAAAATCTCAAAACAAATTATTGTTAATTAAACCATAAATGTTAAAAATATGAATAATTATTCTAGAAAGAGATTCGAAAGTGGTTAAATTGAAGTGGAGAATTCGTATTCTGAGTGGACGTAGAGTTTCTGTGAGTTGGAGAAGCAGCTCCGAATCTCGACCTTTTTCCTTTCCTTTCTGGGTATTCATTTGCTTTTGCATGTGTTCGTCACCGTTTTATTCAATCAATCTTTCTCTCTCTCACTCTCTCTTGCCAAAAGTAAAAGATCCGTCCTTTTTTCTTTTCCTTTGTGAACGTGCATTGGGTGGTTTTATCATGAATTTACTGTACCTGAACTCGTGATGCATTCTGAATATTCGATTTTTACACTTGATTCACTCCTATAAAGGTTACTTTTCGTAACATATCTGACACCAAATCAACTCATCAAGTGACAGCAAGTACATTGAAATATTTCAATTTTATAAACTCTCTAATGTTCATTTCGTCCTATGTTTCTTTCTTTTTGGTTGTTACTGTCATGATATAACGTCCTGTTATTATACGAACAACAGAAATACTAGGAAACACCTTTTTTAGGGAAATCTCAAATTTTGGTGGTCCTGGATCAGATTTAACGAGTCTCTCTTGATTTTATAGTTTTCAATAATTTTTAACCTGTAATAAAGCGTGTATTTGAGAGTGTGTTGCTAACACTCTTTGGTTAACAAACTATGCTTCTTCTGCAACATTCTGAATCTTTTATCGTTTTGTAGTGTTAGCAATAGTGTTGATGATGTGAGAAAAATCTGTCACTGATTCTTTGTTACTTTATTTAAGATTTGCAGGTATCAGTTGCTCCTTTTATCCAATGGAAGTGTTTGACAACTTCATCCTCTCTGTGTGGTGTCATAGCAATCAGCATTGCTTGCAATCGATCAAAGAGCAGCTGAGCGGTGCTAGGGAGTCAGCATCGTTCCTTTTGGGTTTAATCAGTGTCATTGTTTGGGTTGTTGCTGAGATACCTCAAATAATCACAAACTATAGAACAAAGTCTACTGAGGGTCTCTCTCTCACTTTCTTGGTCACATGGATAATTGGGTACTTGGCTTTTCACTAAATTTTCCTAAGGGCTACTCGCATTTTTGTTATCTAATTCAACCTATTCATTTTCCTGTTTATTTGTTTGTTCTGCTGGTCTATTTGAATGCCTGGCATATACTGGTTACAATTCATTCAACCTTGTAGTATTCTGATACAATACTAGTTCTAATTCTAAGTCAACTATTCTGATACAATATATTTTCCACTACAGAGATGTATTCAACCTCCTTGGATGCCTGCTGGAACCTGCAACTGTGAGTGTCTCTATTTTCTTGTGTCTTAAAGCTTTATGTTGCTTGTATTTTTGGAGTCATCTTTAAAGTTTGCCATTACTTTCTCCCATTTGCAACATTAATATATGTAAAAATCACATACTATTGAACGGGAAAAGCAAAATACATGGGTTGGATAAGACATTAGCCAACTAAATCATTTTGTTCTCAAATAATTAATTTTCAAAAGAGAATTATTTTCATTTTTCTCACTTATTACGCTCTAGTTGGGAAGGTCCCTATGCTCTATGAGAAGATACTTTCAACAATTCAGATTTAATAAAATTTTTATTATAAGTTTATTTATTCGTTCTGTTTCTGTAGTTACAAAAAAAATTCCTTTTAGTTCTTGTACTTAAAGAAAACCCCTTCACATAATTTTTAATCCTATTCGATCTTCGTTATAAGAGAGACTAAAAGAGATTGCAAACGGTATGTGTAAGGACTAAAACTTTTTGTTTTTAAGCATAGAAACTAAAATGGGAAATTTTTGTATTTATAACCTTGGGAAATCGAACCTTTTATTATACGACATTTTAAATTTAATCCCATGTTATAAATGGGTTTGCTATCCTCATGTTCTGGTTTTTGAGAACAGAGTGTAATGCATGCTCTTTAGTTCATTGGGAGCATCATGAGCATTTGTTTTCCTATTTTCTGAATATTTTTCCTGTTGAACTTGTTATGGATCATATGGATAATCAGTAAGAGTATACAGAGTAATTCTTGATTTCTTATTTATGCAGCTTCTTACTCAATTATACATGGCAGTGGTGAGGACTCTAGCCCAAGATTGAGGGGTTTCAGTACCTACGAAATCATCTTTTCATCTGACCTTTCTGGTCAGCCAGTTGATGTGACATTTTCCTGATGTGTTAAAATGCAGCTCTATACCATTATAACTCTTGCTCTTGGTTTACAAACCATTTACTATGGACATATATATCCTCAACTAAAATACAGGAGACAGCTCAAGGTACAAGTCCCTATACTTTATTTTGCCAATTATCATTGCCTTTTCAAAATCAGAATCCTTATATCTCACTCCTCATTCAACTAGAGTCTGATACTCTAGACAAGTTTATATACTTTATCATTTTTGTTTTGTATTGTATTTTAGCATTCTAAACATGAGCAGGTTGAGACATTCACAAAAACTGGACAAGGGGAAAAGGCTGCCGATGCTGAACAGAGTATTAAATTTGAAAATTCAAATAGAGATGGCAGTCCGAGTTCTCCTATTCCTCTTCCAGCATTTCCTCAAAGAATTGGTACCGGAAGGGAATTATTCTACCGGTAATTAATCTTTCTCAGAAAAATCTATTAAAAAATGCACAATACTCTATTTCATAGTCAACTTCAATCTCCTGATGTGGTCACTTTAAAGAAACATATTGGATTCCCTTAATCTTGGGCTGTCAATTTCAATGCTGGACATTTTATCTAAGATTTCTTAGTTTGAAATTCAAATATCTGGTTCCAACATGTTGTTAACCACTATGAGCTCTATATTTCTTTTGATTGAATGATTTATTATCTTTTCTTTTAAAAAATTTCCTGAACAAAATGCTGAAGATTCATTGATATTTGTCTTCTTTCTCTTTGGCTTGGTCCCTATGCATGGTTTCTTTTTGTGTTAATGTGAAGTGAATAAGCACAGATTTCCCACAATGAGTTCTAGTTGGCTTTTCTTTCCCAAGCAAAGAAATTTATAATCTGTAATTTAGTGTATTCTTTATTTTGAATTCATAGGTCAGCAAGATATTTGTCTAAGAGTCACACTCCAACAGCGGGGTCCATCTTAGCACAGAGAATGGGATCTACTACTTCTTTAGATTCTATACAAGAGGGCTTGCTTGGTTCAACCATTGCAACACAATCTGCACCAGCTTCAAGGATGAAGAGTACTCTTTGTTTGGTAAACATTCTAATTCTACTACTATTATTTTACATAACTACAAGAGTGCCATAATTGAAATCTAAATCAATCTTGTCTTTGTTCAGGTTTCAACATTAACTTTTCTTGGTGCTATCAACCTGCTTCAACCATTGAGTACAAATATTAACCGTATGGGCTCAAACCCACGACAACAATTTGTAATTCATGTTGGGCGAAAGCTTTTTCAGGTTAATGCAAATCGCAACTTTGATTACCATATTAGAAATTAATCGTCCTGTTTTGATATCCTGCTAACTGTTTGTAATATAGTTTGTGTAGTATGAATA